TCGATAACTGTTTCAGTAACTGCTCTGAGCGACAGTGAGGCACTCCAACTGTTCATTCTTTTTTTTATCGATCTTTTTTATTATAATATCCAGCAAACTGGGGAGTTCCACCAACACTTAATGAGCTATACTATCATTCTTAAATGCATGCCTCCAAGATATAAATTTCAAAACTAATATTGAAAGTTTAATATAGAAGGAACATACATAAGGTCTCAAAATTGGCTCTATATTTTCCTCCAAAATTTGGTAAGGTAAATTAGATAATAGTATTACCCAAGAAGAAATAGAAGCTATACCTTTTTCTTATCATATTTATTGTAAATGTAGTCTAACACTGTGTATCAAACATGCACCAAGAACAATCAATAAGATGGTGAATTGGTGGTTGTATGTGTAGAGGAGGAGGTAGCCAGGGACCGAGAGTGAGCTCTATCATCAGTATGACTGGCTCGATCATTAGAATGGAATTGATTGTACTGCTGCCTTTGTAATGGTGGTGGTCGTGAAGCAATTGGCGCATAGATTCGATTACAAGTGGCGGCTGTGGTTTTTGCAGCCACTGCAGCATTATTTTCAGGTGGCAGCGCCCAGACTCCTCCCACCACCACAAACTGTGTTGCTTGTCTGCTGTTATTGAGAATCAAATGACCTAGTCGTCTCCTGTGTAGTCTATATTTCTGCAATGAAAGCATAAATATCTTCATTAGAGCATAAATCTATTGTACACCACTACTCATAATCGCCAAAATAAGCGATATTCACTTGGCAAGAGCGTCCCATTAAGTAAAAACTTCCAAGGAAAATATTTTGATTAAACAAACCTGTAAATGACTTTTTACTTCATTATTAGTTAGACCATCAACCTTCATCAAATTCCTAATTTGTTTTGGTGTAGCAACTGTATAATCAGATGAATCAGAACAATCAATGGCAAAAAAGTCACATCTATCTTAGTCAAAGTTCATTTGATAATAAATTATACCCTGTGAACCACCAAGTCGTTGAAGCGCTTGCAAGAATTTTCTATGTAGCTCTGGTGACCAACTCCTCCTAGGTTTTCTTTGAAATTGTCCTTCCTTCTCATCCTTGTTATTTTCACCACCACCATCGCCGCCTATCTCCTCCACAGAACTGGTGGCAGCCACTGGCACTGACATTCTGATTGGCCCTTGTGGAGTTGTTACACTACGTTTATCCTTCTGGAATGGATGAAATCCACCACCACTTCTAATTCTATTTACCTCCAACACTGACACTTTTCTTGGTGAATCCTGAACCCAAAATTAACAAATAAGACATATAATTAACAGAAGATTAAATTTAAATAAATAAATATGTTATCAGTTTAAACTTTTACACTAGATTATTACACCAAAATTACCTCTTTGGAGGGTGGATCTGGGGTTGGATTCCATAACTTGACGGATCTAAGCCAGTCTGATTTCTTTGAAACATTATCATTATAACTCTTCAATTCTTGTTCATCATCAACAGAAGTGAATAAGGTTTTCTTTATAGGAATAAACTCTTCCAGAACTGGCCCTTCACTTGATGTCTTCTCAGAACATTCAGATATCACATTATAATCAGACTCTGTTGTTTTTCCTGATAACTGCTGCTTTCGTGCCTCAATTTCTGAAAAAACCAAAATCCCACAAGCATTAAACCATCAAAAAACAATAAATCCAATATAAGTATTTTAAAAAAAAAAAAAATACAAGATCTAAAAAGGGTGTCTTTAAAACCTGGTATTTGTGCGTTTGTTTATATACGCACGTGCCTATATTAACATTAGGGTTATATACCTTGAGTGACAAGCTCAAGACAATTGGGAAGTTCACGGTGAAAAACTTGAATCTTGCGACGTTCTTCTTCTAAAGATTGGATGTAATCTTGACATCTCTGCATATTCTCATCAGAACAATCACTATGACTATTGCAGTTTACGATCATTTTTTTATTTATTTACCTCTCTCTCTTATATTCTTTTGTATTGCATTATTCACCAGCGAAATGAAAACAAAAATAAAGGGATCCAAGTAGAATCACTGAAGGGAATAAACTGGGATCACAAGAAAAAATATACTAACGTGAATCCATACATTTTTGTTTTAGACTTTCAGAGAAAAAAGTTACATAATTGGTTGTCAGAATCGTATTTTTTTATCAGATTCATGGAGCAATCTTGTGGATCGGATCGTAAATAGTAAGATTCTACTAAATATTGAAATAAATGTAAAAATAAAATAAAAGTTCTAACAATAAATTAACAATTATACGTCAGTAACAAGCCTAAAACATATAGTACGTATTTGATTCACTTAAAAAGTTGAATTAATATGTGACTTAAACTCAATAATTAATTATAACCATACATCATAGGACCCACAACTTTTTAATCACATGTCTCATCAATTTTTACAAAAATTTACTAAAATCTTAATTTTTTATGTAAACCAAATATAGCCATAATAGAAGTGAATAAAAAAAATTTCATGTACTTTATAAATGATCCACAAAAGAATTGGTAATAAACAACTAAAATAATTAGAGCTCAAATCTATGAAATTGGAAGTGGAGAAATTCGACGAAATTTTTTCGAAGAACTTATATTATAAGAATTAAAAAAAACTGAAAATAAATCATTTTTCTTTGTATTAGAGAACGTAATATTTCCATTTAGTGGCTCTTGAAAGTAAATCTTTTTATTTGGTTTAAATAAAAGTAAAATATAAAATTGAAACATAGCTTGAGCCCAAATTATTTGATATCACACTTCCACATAGATTTGATTTTATTTTTTCAATCTTTAGGTCAATGTGTCGTTGGAATTGTAAGAATCATGTGATTCAATACGATTGTGTATTATTTGCATCAATTTTTTTGGGGGATCTGAATCGTAACTTTAAAATTTGAGTAATGTTTTTCATCTCCATTAGGGATGAAAACACAGTCTACGTGGTTTCAATGTGACATTAAATGATATGTGAAATTAAATAAATCATTTCATTTCACATTTCATTTAACACATCATTTAAAGTCACATAGACTCTGTTTTTTTTATCTCCACTGGGTATGAATAACATTACTTTTAAAATTTTTAAGAGGACTGAGATTGGACGTCACATAAAAATCAAACGTTTGATTCATGGACTGTTTTCTGCCTTTAGAGAGAGACAAGTGTGAATTTGTATTTGAAATTGGGAAAGATTCGGATTTGTGAAGGGTGCTTCTTTGTCTAGATAAGATCAATACCACCTCTTTCCTCTCGTTACTCACATTATTTTGAATTTTTCTTCCAACTAACCGTTTTTTTTTGGGTCAATCTTTGATAAGTCATAATAATTCTCTGTAATTTAGATATGATTGCGACTCAAATCAATGTTTATATTTATTAATAACTAACAACTATTTTGAAAAAAAAAAGGTGAAAATATTTCTTGAATTGATTTGAGAGATTTTGCATGTACACGAAACTAGAAAGTAAGAGGAAGAATTCGCGGCAACTCGGCTCGGTCGAATATGAAGTCAAGCTTAAGATAGTCTTGGTCGAAATTAATTGTGATTTTATTTATTTATCATATATATTTATTATTCAACACACAAATTAAATTGTCAACGATCATTTGTTATAATATAAATTGGGTACTTGCATGGAGAAACACAATGTGACAAAAATTATATTTTGATCATAAATAATTTGTTCACAACTAATATATAAGAGTTTGCACCTTATACTATAAGATTGTAGTCTTGACTAATTAATTACTCAGGTTTGCAATTTGTCTTCATCGTAGAAATAGTTAAATGTTATACTAGTAAACTTGCATTATAACGAATGGATCACATGTCGAATTTAATTCTAAAGCACAACCATGCAAAAAATTAAATTCCATTTAATCTTTAGGTATTTCATGAAATCTCTGGATAGGGTTGTGTATATCTACTTTGATAGTGATTTGATTCACCAATTGGTGATATCAATTTGATTGATAAAATATTTCGTAGTTGGGGAACTTAAGAGCGAATGGGGTAGAAAACACGATTTCTTTTTGTCAATCATCGCCCTGAAAAATGGATAGAGCAACTAAAGTTTTTTTTGTTGAAAGTGTTTAGCGACAATTATACTTTAACACATGGGATTAGTTCCCAAAACTATTGAAAAAAATGGAACTTAAGCTAGTGAGTATAATTAGAAGGAAAAATGATCATTTATGGCCTTACTATATGGAGTTAACTTAATCAATGGTCACTGAACTTTATTATAGGTTACCACGTGACGGAAGCCTCAAGGTTAAAGGAATTGAAGGTTAAAATAACAAGTCACCAAGCATGATGTGTCCTTGCATGATGTGTCCTTTGTAGTGAAAATCTAATTTTTACACTCATCAATGTCTGGCCTATCTTAGTGTGTCTACANATGCATGAGGTGGTTTTGTAGTAAAAATCTGATTTTTGCACTTACCGTTAATGGTAGGTCCAAATCTAGTGGTTTGACCTATTTTATTGTGTAAAGCCTAATTCAATTGCCCTATGATCCTAAAATAATTTATAGAGTTAATTTCTTAACTGTTCATTCAATTCCTTACTTGATCGGCGCCTGATTCTCAACCGACTTCAACAATTTGCGCCTCAATATTTATAATGTCACATGAACCTTATATTATTTTGATCATGTCATGTCATGCTCATGTCCCAAATATATTAAAGACTTGGGGGTTTATGGAAACCACAATTAACCGAAATAAAAGCAACTTTACTGATAATGCTTCCGCCCCTTTCAAGATCATAATCGTTTATCACATCAATATCCAACATTTAGATTAACCTAAATTACTACCATAGCTTCAATGTAACATTCACCACCTAGACCGGGAGGTCGAAGACTAACACCATATAGAGATCTTAAACTTCAATGATCCAATGTGCCATTATAAGAGAAAATCATTTCAAACTATTGATACAAATGCAATGTCAATGTAAATAGAAAGTAATACATGAATCATATTGGCCAAGTGTGTAAAGTGAAGTTTGGGGTATTACATCCTCCCCTTTTTATAAACATTTAATCCTCGAAATTTGCTTACCAAAAAGTTCAGGATATTTAACCCGTATTTCATCTTCCCTTTCCCAAATGGCCTCTTCTGTTGACTGATTCCGCCAAAGTACCTTAACCAATAGAACTTTCTTACTTCTAAGTTGCTTTACCTCTTGTTGAATAATCTTTACCGATCTTTCTTCATAAGCAAAATATGGTTTTATCTCCATTGGTTCGTTCTTCAATATATGAGAAAGATTTCCAATATATTTTCTTAGCATGGATACGTGAAATACATTGTGCACTTGAGACATTGATGAAGAAAGGTCAAGTTCGTAGGCAACATTTCCAATCCTTTCGATGATAGGAAATGGACCAACGCATCTTGGTCTCAATTTCCCTTTCTTTCCAAATTGCATAACTCCTTTGATCGGCGCTACCTTAAAAAATATTTGGTCTCCGACTATGAATTCTAGCATTCTTCTTCTTTGATCTTCATAACTTTTCTGTCGGTCATGAACAGTTTGCATCCGCTAACGTATTTGTATTACAATTTCATCCATTTCACGAACCATATCTGGTCCTAATAATTTCCTTTCTCCAACATCATCCCAATAAACCAGAGATCTACATTTTCTACCATATAATGCTTCATATGGAGCCATTCCAATCGTAGCTTGATAACTGTTATTGTATGCAAACTCCATCAAAGACAAAAATTTACGCCACTGGCCTTAGAAATCTAATACACAAGCCCTCAATATATCTTCCAATATTTGTATTGTTCTTCTAATTGTCCATCAGTCAGAGGATGATAGGCCATACTAAAAGATAACTTATTTCCAAAGCCTTATGTAAGCTTGTCCAAAAATAGATAAAAACTTAGAATCTTTGTCTGAAACAATAGATAGTAACACTCCATGAAATCTGACTATTTCTTATACATAAAGCTGAGCATATCGGTCCATGGAATAAGTGGAAAAAACTGGAATGAAATGAGTTGATTTAGTCAACCTATCCACAATA